CCCTATATATATATATATATATATATATATATATATATATATATATATCTTATCAAAAATTCATCACAATTCACCATTGATCAAAATTTGAATATACATTCAAGCTATATCTTATCATTTATATAGCCATTTGTACTTCCAATTTTTCACTTTTGTTTTTAATGTGGAACAATCAAAAATTCATCACAATTCACCATTGATCAAAATTTGAATATACATTCAAGCTATATCTTATCATTTATATAGTCATTTGTACTTCCAATTTTTCACTTTTGTTTTCAATATGGGACAATCAAGAATTCACCACAATTCATCATATCATAAATATTTGATTCTCATTATACCATGTCATCAATCTTGGTTCTTTCCTTAATATATATATATATATATATATATATATATATATATATAATTTTATTATAATTCATTATTATGATTGTTGATAAATAAGTTGATGGTGTGGCTATGGACCTACAATATCTTTTGTTTTCCTTTCATTGAATGCTACTTGAATTTTTTGTTGAATAATTGAATTACTTTTTAGATCATATGTCATTTAAAATATTATGAATAATTTGACGACAATTCCATGAAGGACAAAAGGTACATTCGTATGTGCATTGGGACGTTGTTTAAAAGCAACATATGAATGATTCCAAAATTTAGGTGGCGTTGGTTTGGTAAAGCACAAATCATATGAATACATAAAAAAGCACAATTTTGTACGTGAAACCCGATTTTTTAAAATTAATTGGATTTAATAGTAATTATATCAGATAAAGATTCAAATATGGAACCCGGTTTTGTGGGAGTTGGCTGGTTAGAGATGGAATCCTTAAAAACTGAAATATTTGATTTTGAAACCAATTGGGTGTATGTTTTTTCAGAGGCAAACATTTTATAAGAATCCAAAGAAACGTACCAAAAAAAACGAAAAAAGCTTTTGCAAGCTACCGAACTAATACGAACAAATTAACACGGAACAAGGTTAAATTGAACTAACCTAAGGTAGAAAGACCAAAAACAATAGCAGGCCAAAAACCGGGATGCCAACAGCCAAAAAGACTCATGACGTAGAAAGAGATGCCAAAAGTGATGTAATGAGCCGTTTGTATATCTGCAAATAAAGGTCCGTAGATAAAGTTTTGTTCTAAAAAACCACTTGTTTACAATGTCCCCATATCATATATGTTGCAGACCAAAACGTAGTTTGCCAAACAGTTTTCACCAAGCCGAAACCAAAGATCCACCTATGTCTAAGATTTTTATTATGACACAATTGTAAACAAAGCTTGTGATATTTCTAAAACTATTTTTTGGGTACATCAATCGATTTTGTTTGTCAAACGAAGGATTGTGTGGGAAAGAGAAATTATGATGAGAAGCGTAGGAAGAGATTTGAACCATTGATCATTTTTAATCTTATGTCCATCCATGAATTGTGCTTCAAAAGAGTTGACCCAGTGCATCTCGATGTAGCTCATTAGTTTTGACATTCAATTAGGATTGATTCAAGAGTAAAGATCTTTTCTTATACTTCTTACTATAACTTTCCTTGTCACCGAAACTCAACCATTGTTTGATATACCAAAACTTTTTCACACCTTCTGTAAATATGCATAGTATATACTAACAATAATATGGTAACTAAAATGTAGTAATTATATTTGCTTTTATCCACCTCCACCTTCTCTTCCACTACAACAACATCCTCCACCGCCTCCACAACCACCGTCCACCATCTCCATCGCGACTTCTACCATAGTCAACCACCGGCCACCACAGTCCATTGCTACCACCACTACCGTCGTTCGCTACCTCCAACTCTTCCTCTACTACAACAACCTCCTTCACCACCTCTACAACCACCATCAACCACCAACTACCACCGTCCATTGCCACCTTTACAACCACCACCACCCATTACCACCAACGCTACCACCGTTGGCCACCTCCAACTCCTCCTATACCGCAACAACCTCCTCCATGACCTCCACAACCACCGTTGACTACCGACCACCACTGTCTATTGCAGATATACTCTAACAAACTACTTATACTAGATATAAAAAACAATTCTTGTAATCCAAATAATAGTGTGTTTTATTATTCCTATCAGCAGCTTCCACGAAGCCACCCACTCAAGATCACAACCACCCCCATTCAAAATATGAATAACAGAATTTGATGCTCATAAAAGAGTTGGAAAAAACAAATCACAAGTATTTTTATGTTTTAAGTGATTAACTTTTTTGAATTTATTGATGCGTACATATAAAATTTTAAAATTATTAAAATCTTAACAAACTTTTACATTTTAAACAAGAAGTCATCATGAAATCTCTTTTTAAAGAAATACATTTTTCATGCTTATAAAACAATATTATTTTATCCCCTCTCTCTCTCTTCATATATCATCAGATAGCCAAACGAACATGATTATATATTATTTTCTATCAACCATTACTTATTTTTCATATTCAAATGACTGACAATCATAGAAAACAAAATTAATTATTTAACTTTCGGATTTAAAGGAAAATTAAAAGATCATAACAAACACATATGATTGTCATTTGAATTTGAAACATAAATAATAACACAGTCCTTTTTTTTATTAGTTTGTTTTACTTAATTTGCTATTGATTTGTTAATACATCAAAAGAAAAATTATTCGTTTTATTAGTTTATTTGACCTCTAATCAAGTTAGATTCTTAAATTCATAAGGTCATTAAGCTAAATAGCCCCATGGAGGACCATTCTCTTTGCAAAATGCAGAAAGATTTCCCCTATGATTAGAGGGAGGATATAATGAAGGGATATGATATAGATTAAATCAAGGAATTTGGTATCTCTATCATTCATAAGAATGTACATGATAATAAACTAGCTCAAAAGTTAGTCAACAAACCAACTGTCTTGGTAAAAATTAACTAATAAACTAGATGACGAATATAAAATAACGTATTCAAAAATTACTTAATTTTAACATTGTGTAAAATAAATCATTAATGCATTTCATCATATTAATAACAAAATAAATGCTTTTAATTACTTAGTTTTGATAGATATTTTTATTGTACTAACATATTTACAATATATGCAAATCTTGAATTGGTACACAACTTAATGATGCCTTTTATTAATTAATAATTAGATATTAGATATTAACTTTATTTGTAATTAGATTTTTATTTAGAATGTTATGCATGAATCGGATTATTATAAACGTTTTTGAATGTTCTTGAGATTGATATGTAAATTAAGTTGAAATTTTTGAATGTTTATAGGTTATATTGGGACCGTTTACCAAGCACTTACCGGTTAACGGTAAAATTTAACACTATTATTTACTTGGCGGGTAAGATTTTAGTCCATCAAAACGACATCGTATGCAACAATTTACCCGGTAAGCGTTTACCGTGGTAAGAGTCGTCGCTCTCATTTACCGGTTAAGACTCTTGGTCCTTGTCTTGCTCTTATCGGGTAAGATTCTTGTTCCTTACCATATTTATCGGGTGAGATAATGTTACTTGTAAACACTTGGTAAACGGCCCCTTAGTAATGTTCCACGGTGGTAGTGATGATCAGTAGAAGAAAAAGGGAAGACAAAGTTGCCCCAAACATGAGGAGCTCAATCTTGAGTTGGGGATGTTTGGTTGATTTTTCGTTAAGTCCTATATGGATTAATCTGTCTATATTGATTGAGAAAGTTTTTT